ATTCGAAGGAAATTTTCCAGGACGTCCGGGGAAGATTCATAAGTCCAAGTATGTTCTCTATTTGAAAAAGATTGGCACCATTCGAATCCTTGCATGACATTCTTTTCTGAACACAACAGAATTAACGGTAATTCAGCTATAGAGTAGGTTAATATATTATAATATAATATCTATTATTATCTATGTTTTTTTCTTTTACACTAAACATAAAATTCTAATCCCATGCAGTGATCTATTTGATCTCCGTGGGCAAATGAGTCCCAGGCTAAAAACAGCCAATCTGATCCCATGCAGTGATCGATTGATCTCCGTGGAGAATCAATACCGTGCACACTTATACATGGAGTGATCTATGTGATCTCCGTGGAACTATGGACTGTTCAACTGCAGGGGACGCCCGTAAGACAGTGACATCAAATGCATATACCAGCAATTGCATAATCACCATTTAAAAGGACATAAGTAAATATATCAATAAATTATAATAATTTTCGCCCCTCGGGAGAATGTTTATCTGACAACATTGTCAGTGTCAGCTGATAAAATGTATATTTTCACATAAGAGGTTAATAAAAGTTTTCAGTCAGTCTTTGACATCTACCGAGAATTGTTTTGGTATTTATTTACAATTACTACGTAATTATATATTTTTCTTATTAAAAACTAAGAAAAACAGGCCAAAAAACGGTCCCTGTCAATACCATTTCTTAATGAATATTTGGTCTAGGAATTCTCGGAGTTTTAGACTGAATTCGAAGAAAATTTTCCAGGAAGTTCGCGGAATATTCAGAAGTCCAAGTACATTCGTCTCTTTTTAAAATTTAAAAAAACAATTGGCAACATTCGAATCCTTGCATGACGTTCTTTTCCGAATACAACAGTGCTGTAGTCAACCTTTTCATGGAACGTTTTCCCATTACGAGGAACAAACATTAAGACCAAATCAACGACGATAAAAAAAAAAAAAAAAAAAAAAAAAAAAAAAAATTATTTGTTCGTTCATTTTAACAAAAATAGTAAATGAGCGAAGATTTGCAACGTTGCAGTTGTTGGTACGCTTTTTTGCCCACTTTAACCGATGATACAGCTTCTGTAATGGGTCTACTGCAAGCAAGGGATACAGACAACTAAATACATTTTTTGAGAGAAAATTCGCTTGAAATTCACGTAGGGTACATCAAAAAAGTCTGAAATCCACTCCACATCGTGCAATCTGCGTAGTATGTGACACATACATATAGGTAGTATAGGTGGTATATATCACTCCCTCGCGCTCTGCGACTCCTAACCTCCACTGCTCTCTGTCGAGCCACAAACCTTGGGGCATTGAGCACCTTAACATTTCTGCTTCAATCCCCTTCCTCCAACCCCTCATTGGGCGCCCTCTGCGCCTTCTCCTAAGAGAAACCCAATCAAGGACCTTCTTCGGCAACCTGTCTCCTGCCATTCTTTGAACATGACCATACCAAATAAGTTGTCTCGTCATAATTTCATGCCCGATGGTCTGTTTGGCATCCATGATCATTGATCACCCTTGTAACACGCCTTTTCAATTTTACCGCGCATGTGGGCAGTTTTTCTTGGTGGCCGTTTGTCAGGTTTGCCCTAAGAAAGACCTGACCTAAATAAACAAACGATCTTGCGTACTGTTATAAACTATCTGTGTAAGATTTCAATTCATTCAAAGCTTTTGTTTTTTGCAAAATAAAGAAAGAAAAAGGAAACAAACGCATGAAAACGAATGAAATCACACAGTATAAAAAGTTAGTGGAATCGTTTATTTCCTCACATTAGTTTTTCTGGCTCCTCCGTCTGTGCAAACCTGACCAGTGGTGACTGAGAATTGAGAAAAACAACCTGCAGACTCGCGGGAAACTTGAAAAAGCGTGGTAGAAACAACGCATATTGCGCACTAAGGAATGGATTTCACACTTTATATGTGCCCCATTCGATTTTCGTGCGATTTTACTGCAGAGAGATTTTTATTTGGCTGTATCTCGTGCGTGCATCAAACTCATTAAGGGATAATGGGGGTATATAATTACAGAGAGTTCCAGGAAAGCCAGGCTTACTTCCCCACTTAGAATTAGAAAAATGATTTACTCTAACGAGTCAAGAGTTTGTGCATGGTTAATTTGAATTCTCCAGAATCGGCCGGAGTGTCGAGAAAGGATCACGCTCGGAATGAGAGGATACGTGAAATTATGGGCGTCGAAAACAACATAGTGCATGACATTTTCACAAAACAGCTTGTCTGGTATGATCATGTGCAATGGATACCAGATGATAGGTTGCCTAAGAAGGTTCTGAATTGCAGGATCGCGTTCGTGCAGTCAGTCGATCAAGCAACCTATTAAATTTTGTGCCTACGTCATTTTTGTCACAATTTGAGCGAGAATTTCGAATTTTCGACGTTTGTCGAATGGAAGTACTGAAAAAGTACTGAATTTTCCTGTTGAGAAGGTACAGAATTTCTTAGGAATGTACTGAAAAAGCACTCACTGAAAAAAAAGTTCGGTAAATCCGAACTAGTTAGGATTTGTTCGGTTTGTACGACCAAAACCATAATAAATTCTTACAGCTCGGTTCAGTGGACCGAACAGTTCGGCTGAGCAGACCGAATAATTCGGTCGTGTGTACCGAACAAAATCGTGGTTCTATATGATCCTAACTAGTTCGGATTTACCGAACTTTTTTTTTCAGTGATGTAAAAGTACTGATTTTTGTCAAGCCTGTTTTAGTAGACACCGTGTCCACATGAACGTCATGCATATTGTGCGTGTTCTGATGATTTAGGAGAGTATGTAATGAGAGATTTGATCGGAGAGCAGCGATGAAACATCATGATATCTAGGGCGTAGCCAAAAAAAAAGCATTATACTGGAAAATACTATAAAAAACCATGGTATTCGATATCGGATTCCAGATTATCCGTTAAGATCCATTAAGGAGAGTGCCAGTCAAAAACGCCAACTGCGACGAAAGCAATGGTTTTTTCCGAAAAGTTCATAGAGAGGAAGTAACGGCTTTCCTCTCATGCATGAATAGCGAATGAAAAGTGCTTCCGAAGGTTTTTTTAAAAAAAAAAAAAGTTCTCTTGGAAACCTTTGCTTTACTTAAAATTTCTGGTGCTACTGGACTTCAGCCATATGAATATATGGGTCAAATGGTCTCGCAAGAGAAATATAGGAGATCGAAAAAGGAGGAAAACTGTGTAGAAATTAATGACGATATAGTTAATAGATGGTGTGCTCGTTGGAGAGATGGCTGTTAATGATATTAATACAATAAAAATTTAAAAAAAAAATTAAAAAAAAACGATGAAAACCCTACATGGTGGTGGCCGGGATCTGAGAAAAAAAAATGAAAAATAAAAAGGGGGCTCAGGTTCTCATAATTTTTTTTTTTTTTTTTAAAAAAAAATAACTGTATTGTACTTCCGACTGAAAATGACTCAGTGTTGAGTCGAAACGTCTCGGTTTTTATTGATTGTGTATTTTAGCCTTGTTTCCCGTTTTTCCCCCTTGTTTTTTTGAGCTCGCCCACTCGGGAGAGCTCTTTGCGATCGATTTCTTTTAGCATTGGTAGTGTCCGTGGCGACGAATGGATGGTTCTCGTTGCCGTCGGAGGAACGGCCAAAATCCCATTGATTTCAAGGTCTAAAAGTTGAATTTTCGCGGGTTACAGTTTTCCTCCGTCGAACATTTCCGTTCCCTCATTCAACTGAGGATTAATTGTTCCTCGTTTGCTACACTAGAGAGCAGCACTTTCCAGTGGCCGAGCATATCATAGCATGTTGCTATGGTTTTATATCAAATAACCTAATTGTATGTTATCATCCTCTTATCTTTTCAATGCAGTTTTTGTGTGCAGTTGTACTTGCAATTGTTATTATTTCTTAAAATAAAAAACATGGTGACCTCGACGTGATTTAATAATTTGTTCAATTAATTTTAAGTTACTAAGACTAAGATTGAGATTTGCGCATAATTAATGGATAATCCTTAAGATTGCCGTTATTGGTACCATAGAAGGTTAATTAACCTCAAAATAATTGCATGCTTGAGAGCTCGGTTGAGACTCGCATTGGGATCCTTTCAGAGTTTGTTTAAACCTCATATGAATAATGCTTTAGGATTCGTTTGAGCCCCTCGCATCAAGAATGCTTGGGAATTCGTTTGAGCCTCGCATTTAGAATGCTTGAGAATTCGTTTGAGCCTCGCATTTAGAATGCTTGAGAATTCGTTTGAGCCTCGCATTGCGTTTCTTTAGAGTTCGTTTTAACCTTAAAATACAGATGCATGAAGTGCTCTTTCGAGCTCCGTGCTATTTATAGTGCGCGAGGTGCTCCATTGAGCCACCCCATACCTACAAAGGCGTGATGTGCTCCATTGAGCCACTCGCATACAAAGGCTTGAAGTGGTCTCTCGAGCTCCACGCTAAAATTCAAGTGAATTCCTTTTCAGCTCTTAGTGTATACCATAAGTATTGTGTGAGAATTATGGCAGAAACGTTCCTCCAAACCGTGCTAAATTATAGTTTCTTTGAACTCTGTGCCGATAAAAATTCAGAATTCCAGACTGCCAGCTTAACAAAGTATAACCTTAATTCAAGTTGGCGACTTGATTTAAAAAAAAAAAATTAAAATTAAATCATATGATTTCATTACATTGTTGACAAGTTAAGAAAAAGCTTATCAACGATGAAAACCAGAAACAAAAATGCGATGGCAAAAATAGCCATTGCAACATTTGCCGCAAAATCACATTCATAAAAGATAATTCCATTTCTCGCTCTTTATTTCTCTTTATTTATTGTAATGTGAAAAATTTGTCATATGAAATTACGTCATAACATTTTGCATCGGCATGTAACCTCTGATAATTGGGTAAAGATTCATTTAATACATATACAATTTCAGAAAAAATCATTAATAGTTGTTAATAGTTTCCCAAAGGCGAGCTCTCCAACACAGTAGTGTTGGAACCAGCAGCTTGTTTCTCGTTTATGCTGCGAAATTTGACAACTCCAGGTGGTTCTAGATTGTTTTCCGGTGACTAGTCGAGTGGTCTATCACCGCGGAGGGACGAAAGGAGGAGTTTGGGGCTATTTGAATCTTCCTCAGTCCATAAATCTATCGATAGGGGAGGCTCGAGTGTATATTGTGCTGAATCAACGGGTTGCTTCCTCGACTTTTTGCCAAATAGGTCATCTTCCAATACGCTCTCTCCGGCACAGCCTCCGCCCTGCCGTTGTCGAATTTAGGGGAAATGGGCCTGTTGCTATTGAGAACTACTGCCGTGCCAAGGAAGAACCCTGTATGAACATTCGAGAGTTCCCATAAATTGTTTTCGATAAAATTTTTACTTTTGAGGAAAGTTATGGATATTTGTCTTGAAAATTCTCAGGATCTTTAGATGAAATTGCGAACAAAATTATTTTAAAAAATTAGAGGGGAAATATTCATAAGTTCACTGGAAAATTCCTGTTTTATCGAAGGAAATTTGGCAACGCCTGAAGGCTCATACGACGTTTTTCCTTAGCACGGCAGAATACGGGTAAATGGATTGCTGTCACCAGAGAGGAACCAGGCCACATGAGTCATTGCCAAATTTGACCAGGCTATTTAATTTTTCACAAGAGAACTTTGGTGCAGATTTCTTTGGAAATTTTAAGGAATTTGCTTCGTACCATACGGAAAATTCACTGAAATGTTCACAAAAATTCGCACAACCATTTTCATGTAAAAAACTAAATTGCTCAATTGAATTTGGCAAAAGCTAATATGGCTTGGTTCCGTTCTGCTTAATGCGGTCCACATAAGACGGTTATTCGTCATTCCTGGACGAAAGAACGTAACTCCTTTCCAAGGTTGCAAAATTGTCCAATCAATTCAATGTTTTACAAGAATGTACCTATGCGATTTTAATCCAAAATTTTCCTCATTTTTGCATGAGATCGGAAGGAAAATCAAGGAAATGTTTAGTCACAAAGGCCACATATTCTCCTGGAAGAAATTAAATTTGCTAGGGAAACTTTGGCAACATTAAAATACAGTTACTTTCTTTCGAGAAGGAAACGACGTATTTAGAGGTAAAATCGACAAAAGGGATTTGGAGAGATCCTATTGGTAGAAGCGGGTGGTTGCAATGGACCAAGGAGACGGATAATAGACTAATTAACGACGACCGACAAGAAACCCTTTATTTAGATCAACATTTTCCCCTTTCGTCTGTACGAATCACCAGATTCAACCAATAAGATCGCTTCATACATCCTCGTGTCTTCTTTGTCTATAGCTTTGTCTATTAATTCCAACAATCAGTCCGCTGGACCTAAAACCTTGGTTTTCCATACAAAGAGAAATTTTTCCTCCGCGCAAAATTGAGTTTATAGATGAAGCCTCTCATCTGTTCCGATGCGATGCCATTGAAGCCTCAAACACTCGGTTCAAACCCCTGTTTCACGATCAAAAGCCACTCGAGTTTTTCTTTTCGTTTAAAATCCGTTCGGGGCTAATTATCGTGAAACTGTGGCGCTTAACGCAAATAAACAATCCCTCATGGAGAAGACCCCCCCCCCCCCNTTCTCCAGGAGAGGCGGAAAGAAAATGAGCTGGCAGGGCAAGGCGCACAGAGGAGCCAGTTAATCAGAGAGGTTGGACATGGTGTGGAAAGCAGTAGCGTGGCGTGTTTTGTGATTATATCGATTCATCTGCCATTTAAATCTATGAAAAAGGATCGATAACAGGGTGTTCGCAAAGAACACTAAGGTGTTCTTTAATTAAGTTTATAGATTCTTTACTTTAGATCCAAATGGAGAAATCGATAATCCATTATTCACGCTTCGCCAATGGAAACTTTAAAATCTTGTATTTTCGTCAGTAGGAATCGTAGACGTTGGTTATCTCGTAGAATGGACCAGTAGATAGAGCACGAATTTAAGCATGTTCTGATACTCGTTTCTCGACCAACATTTCATGCAGAACACGATTCGCGCAAACGAAACTCCTAACAAAGCTATTAAACGTTTTCCGATGCGTCTATTCCAGTGGCGATTTCGTAACGTAGTTTCTCAAAAATTGTCCTGATTTTTTTTCTGGGTCAGCAGACTATATTCTCTATGGATTTCAAGCTATGACTCGGACTTGTATCTCTTCGGAAAAAATAAAATAGGAGCTGAATATTGGAAACGCCGCATTGCAGATATGTAATTTTGCACAGTGCCCATCGATTTGTTGGTTAAATAAAAAAGTGTAATATCTGATCTCTCGCAAAGGCTCCTCCCACTGTGCGAGCAAGCGGAGGAATCCATTTATGGGATCTAATTTTAATCTGTTGAGAATATTTTTATCTCGTTAAGCAGGCGGCGTTTTTAAAGTTCTCATAATTTCCCTCGTTTATTTTAACGTTCCTGAAACTCTAAACTTGCCTCGGTGTCGCTATTCCGGGTAAAAGCGCGGATCTCCGTAAGACTGCAACATGAGTTACGTGGTTTTTGCGGTCTTACGGTTGAGCGCTCCTCTTATCTTCGATTCCTTTGTTTCCCGTTGTGTTCCTCCGTCCGTGTAGCGGCCTTAAAATTTTATCCCTTCGAACTTCAACAAATTTCTCGTGTCTTCCTTGCTTGTTTTTCCTTAGAAACTGTTCACTTTTTGCGCCATTCAAATATTTTCCCGTAACTGTGCGGTTTTTTTCGCCTTGATGTCTCGCACGTGGTTTCTAGAGTATGCTCGATGAGTACTTATCGGCAGTGGAGCTCTTGCACTATGTCAGTAATTTGCGGTTTCTGTACTAATTAATGATTCCGTAAGTGATTTAGTAATTTCTCTGAAAAAAATTTCAAAACTCAACAAAAAAGCTCTCAAAGTTGAGGCCGTAATGGAGGGAATATCCCATGCTGCGCTATCCTGAGAGTTTACCTCTATATCAATGCATGATTTTGATGCAAAGATGGAGATGGGGAACAAGTACATTGACAGGGTTGCCACTTTACTTGTTAACTACAAAACTGGAGACACAGCAACACTGCTAATGTATTGGCTCCTGAGCTTTGCATGATGAGTGTGACTAAATACAGAGCTGGACCCTCACGATAGCGTTTGATATCCCCTGCATTACAGTCTCAACTCTGAGAGCTTTTTTGAGATTTGGAGTTCGTTTCAGAGAAAACCAGTAGCTTCATCCTGTTTTTACGCGAGAAAAATTACTTAAATCACAAATCCCTTACACATACAAGGATTTCAGGACATTCCGTCAACGATTTTTTGTCTGCGCACCTGTTTTGTCCAGTAGTTTTGCCACGCGTAAAATAAGCGTCAGTGGCTTGATACAAGCGTTGTAATTTAGGCCAAGTAATTATGTTGACAATATCGAAAAGAGAACATTGAGATAGAAGGAGGTGTTGTTATGGTAACTCACTTCTTAAAATGAAATGTTACTTTCTTTTTTTGATTCGTCTTTTCAAATTGTCGTTGGTAAATATTTTGTTTTATGTCCATCCTTACGAATTTAGATAATTTTTTTTTTTTTTTTTTTTTTTTTTTTTTTTTTTTTTTAATGAAAATATTACTTAATTTTTAAAGACATTTACATTTTCAAAACGTGGAAAATATTTGTAAGACCTTTTCCAAGCTATGGCATCGATGTTAATCTCAACAAGCCGTAGTTGTGTTGAAAGAAACTCTACAAAAATGAATAAAAGAGTAAAAAAACCAAGAAGCAATCTTCGGTTTTAACCCATTTGTACATCGAGCTTTCAAAGTCAAATACGTCCTATATTGCGCGTAAACCACGCTGCAGCATAGTAAAAACACAAAATATGAGAGAAAAAATTAAAGTGCTCTGGAAATCATTAAAGTTGAAGCGGAACCACCTTAATTACAAAACACATATTACATTTTCCTTCGATACATTTTTTCTCCCATCAATTTTAATGAGAATAATCCATGCAGAGTGTGCAAACATTTCAAAATCATGAGTTGAAAAACGCAATTCAGAAATATAGAGCGGAGCGGCGAGCTGCTGGCGCAAAACGCGCACAGGCGCCTACAAACCTAAGGGGATACTTCACGCAGTGCGTAATGCTTGAAGTATCCCTGTTAGGTTTGTAGGCGCCAATGTGCAATGTGTGCTGGTGGGTTCCCTCCGCGTCAAGTGCGCAGCGTGCCACGGCGCGTGGCGCCTCAAGCAACTATTTCACAACGGAGATGTTGCACAGTATCTTACGAAAATGAAAACGCTCCGACATTTTGAGAATGACAGGCATCTTTCAAAAGCACGAAGTTCCCTCGCAAATTAAATTGAGTGACGACGACTAAAAGAGAGCGGTAGTCCAAAAATTTACGAAATCCTAGCATCCTTTGGTTTTTGCACAAAACTCATTTTTGCGGAAGAATACTCATTTATGAACATTTCTGGCCATCTTGAATTCATGTTGGAATCTGAAGATTAGCAGTGACGTTTTTTGTGTTAGAAGGCTGTCTGCCCTTTTGGAACCTGGAAACACCATTCCTAAACAAACCCGTATTCTCCTCATATGGTTACTCTAGGGAAGACAACAGCGCAGGATCTCAAAAATATATTGTCTCTGCATCCATCAGCTACCATTGAGGAAGCTCTAAAATTCCGATTCACCCGTCTGCATCCTTGGATAGCAGCACGAGGTCTCAAAACATTTTGTCGTTTTTCTTCCGCACCGAAACGCCTCGATTACGTCCTCCGAAATTCGGCTGCCCCCCCCCTCCCTCTCCTTCCGCGGGGCGCCACTCCGGCTAAGTCGTTGGAAAAACAAGCGTCAAGCCGCCGTCGCCGCTTTTCCGGTACATTTCGCCCGCTTTTTACATCTCTCCATCGGGAAATGATGCATTTTCAGCGGAGTGGCAACGCGGCGTCAAGCCTCAGCAATCCCGACTCTCTCCATCATTTTTCAGCGGAGCTTTAATGCACGTCGGAACAAGAAAACGCTGAAACAATGACAAATATGTAAATATAGCGTCCGTTTTAAAAACGGCGGGGGGAGAGGACCCCCTCGCTCGTAGCCGAGACGAAATAGAAAGTCAGAGAGACAGAAGCGCCGCTCGGTGTTGTCGCTCACGGTCGAAGCTGAACTAGGAGGCGCGGTCTCGCGTGAGAGTGGCGGCGTTTCCCGTAGGTGGCAGCACCGGGCTGGCGATAAGACTGATGGTAATAATAATAAGTAAGGAAATATGTCCGCGGATTCGGAGGGAGGGGGCGGGCGGGGCGAAATGATGAATGCTTTTCTGTCGTCTCGTATTATCAATAAGGTAGGGAGGCGCCTTCTTGTCTTTGTTTGTC